TGCATGCCTGGCTTTTTTTCACTTAGCACACTTAGTGTTTCCAAGGTTTACCCATGTGTTGCATGTATCAACACTTCATTACTTTTTAGGGCATAAGTATATTCCACTAAGTGTACACAACACATATTATCAATTTACCAGTTTATTAGCGTTTAGATCACTACTAATTTTTTGGTTCTGATAATGCTGCTGTGCACATTGGTGTGCATATTTGTAACTTGGCATTGTTTTCAATTTCATGGGATTTCTAGGTTATATAAGAACTCTTTATTAAGTCACTTCAGGAAGTGACTTAGGTGATTCCCAGTCTGACTCCCCCAGTGACAGTATGATTTTACAGTTCCACTAGCCATACATTAGGGTTCCAATTTCTCTGCATCTCCAAGGGTTCTAGTTTCTATAATTTTTAATTATAATTATAATCATTCATCCTTGCACATATAAAATAGTGTTGTGGCTTCTACTAATTAATACTTCTGAGTATCTTTTATGTGCTTCGTGGACACACTTATCTTTTGGGAAGAAGGGTCTGAATCTTTATTCTTATTAACTCATTTCTGGTTTTGTTTTGTTTTTTTGAGACAGGATCTTACTATGTAGCTCTGGCTAGCCTGGAACTCACTCTGTAGACCAGGCTAGCCTCAGACTCACAGAGATCTGCCTTCCTTTGCCTTCCAAGTGCTGGAATTAAAGGTGTGTACCACCACACCCAGCTGTATTTAACTTTATAGACCATCCTTGAATTTCTTCCTTTCTGTATTCCCCCACACAAAAGACAAGGGCTCCTGTATCCCAGACTGACCTCAACCTTGTTATGAAGCCAAGGATGAATGACTTCCTGTCTCCACCACCCAAGGGCTGTAGGTGTGTACCATTATGTCCTGTCCCTCTGCCCATTATTTAAAAAGGCTATTGTTAATCATAAGATAACCACTTGTCATATATTTGAGTGTAAGTCAGTCATATATGGTTTGTAAATATTCTTTTCCATTCTTCAGATTGTCTTTTCACTTTCTTGGTATCCTTTGGAGCACAAAATGTTTGTTTTGAGGGGTTGGAGTTGTAAATCTCTCATCCTTTTCCACAAAAGATTAAAAGACTTCTTTTAATAATAAAACAGCTTTTTTGTGAAGGCCTTTGGGAACGAGGCAGTGGTGGCTCATCCTATAACCCCTGTATCTTAGAAGCTGAAGCAGAAGCATCGCCATGACTTCAAGACAGCCAGGGCTACATAAGGAGCTCTAGGCCATCCTCTAGGTGGCAGACTGAGTCCCTCAGGAGAGAGACATGTCTCAAAACAAAGTTATTAGTGGCTGGAGAGAAGGCTCAGTGCTTAAGAGCACTAGCTTCTCTTTTAGAGGACCTGGGTTGAATTCCCAGTATCCACCTAGTGGCTCACACTGTAACTCCAGGTCTAGAGAACTTAATGCCCTCTTCTGGCCTCGACAGGCACTGCAGGCATGTGGTGTGCAGACATTCCGGCAGGCACAACACCCATACACATAAAATAAAAAGAAAAGGAAGAAAAACAAATCAATTAAATAAATGAAAAAAATTAAAGTCCTAGGGGACCTGAAAACAGGGGAATGTTTTCTAACTCACCCTGAGAAGTCTCACAGACTTCTATAGCACATAGGAAAGTAATTTAGAAGTACATTCCAAGAAAAATAAGAAAAAAAAATGATAAGTAATTAAAAGGCAAAGTATTTAATGGGTAGAAAATTAAATTTCATAGAGTTGCTATGTAAGAATAAGGAAGCTGTAAAGTATTTGACTTCCACTCATACCTGTAAGTGTATATAAAGCAGATAGTGAGAGGCTGATACATGAAACACAGCTGAAGGAAAATCTGCCCCGCTGAGCTGAGAGGGACTGAGAGGAAACCAGGGTTGATTACTTGGGTTAATGGGCTGGCGGCCAGAAATGACAAATGGCTACATTAAAGAAGTTATTCCCTTTATATGTTGAATGATTGCCAGGGATGTTTTAAATAATAAGTGTGGCTCTTGAAATAAGGCTTTCTGATTAACTCCCCATCCCTCTTTGAAATCTTTGGTAGTTAAAACTGACTTCAATATACCTCTGGAACTTTTTAGAGAAGTTCATGGGAGTGCACAGAGTTAACAGTTTATAAATTTTCTCCATTTTCACAGAGAAAAAACAGGCACAGAAACTGGGTACCTCTATTGTGGTCATCCTGATGAAAATCTCCTGGGTTCTCTGGGCTATTCATTTCCTCCTTGTAAATAAACCCCACCACACTTACAGGAACACGAAGATGCTTAAAGAAGAAATGGTTCCTGGTGGGCAGGCAGGGCTGAAATTTGAGAGCACTGGAAGGGAAGGTTTGGGTCAGTAAGACAAGCAAGAAGAGAAATATGGGCTCAGAAATCTACTCCAGCAGGCTTCTTAGAAGAATTCGGAATTTAAGCAGAGTTAAATAGCCTGCTTAAGCCCCGGGACCTCACACACGCTACGCCAGCTCTGTCGCTCAGCGACACCCTCTAACCACCTGGGAATTTTAATGTGCTTAAGGAAGGAATTACATTCTCAGACCTCGCCTGGGTCTGCAGTGTGGGTTGTGAGAAGATGGCAACAGGAGCTTTTGACATTAAAGGATCCTAACAAGGTGCTGGGGGCCGCACACCTTGTAGAGTGCTTGTAAACTTGGGAGCTGTGTGTATTTTTCAGAGTCTTCTAACTGTACTGGATGAACTGAAGAAAATATTTTACCAGCATCTAGGGAAAGCAGTGTGCTTGATGGACACTCTCCACCACTGTGACAGAATCCCTGAGAAAACAATATAAGAGGGAGACGTGTTTATTTTGGCTCACAGGCTCAGAGGTCTCGGTCTGTGACCAGCCGGCTCCACTACTTGTAAGCTTATAGCAAGGCAAAAATATCATGTTGGACAGTCATGTTGGGAGAAGGATGCTTAACACACAGTGGACAGGAAGTAGGACATCACCCCATTACCTGCCTCTACTTCCACTAAGTAGGTGCTACCTCCTAACTTCCTCCAACTCATTAGCCCCTTTAGGATCTCTAACTTCTCATCAGCATCACCAGCTGTGAACCAAGGCTTCAAAAGTCTTGGGTGGGGGACATTTCAGATTCAAGCCGTAGCAACTAGTTACCAAAGACACGAACATGTAATAGATCAGTGAGAGTGCTTTGGTTGTGAACACTTAATAAAACCCATTCCCATGAGTCATGTTCACAGACAATAAGGACATTTACTATGTTGTAAGACAAGGAAGTTCAGGGCTAGGGTAGGGTTGATTGATGTTGTTGATTAACAATGACACAAGAACTAGAGGATTCTTCTGTCCCTTCAGGTGTGTCATACCAGGTCACCTGCTGCCCTCAGACAATGGGGAAGTAGCTGCAGTGACCTCGTAACCCAGATGTGCTAACATCCAGAGAAAGAAGACCCCCTTGCAGCCATGAGGAAATCTTTTTTTTTTTTTTTTTTTTTTATTTTAAACACCCCATGTGGGTGCTGGGAATTGAACCTGGTTAAGTCAGTGCTCTTAACCACTAGGCCATCTCTCCAGCCCGATGAGGAAGTCTTTTTAAGAACCCTACAAAGTTGGTCACATGCTTATTTGGAAACCAATTTACTGGTCCCAGGACGAGATGCCCTGGATTGGTTGTGCTAGTCATATTGTTACAGTAAAGAATGGAATTTGCCTGTAGGTAGAGACATTCCATTGTCTCTTCCCTTAAGAGTTAATCCAGTTGGGCAGGCCCTTGACCTGGTGAAGGGACGACCCATAGGATGGCAGGTTCACCATGTTAAAGAGGAAGAGGGAATAAGTATTCTCTTAATGGAACAGTGTACTTTTCCTTACCAGAATTCCCTCCCCCAGCATACCCCCTGACAGGGCCACAGACATAACTTTCCCTTTTCTTCTATCTCTGTCCTAAACATGCTTTCCCTAAAACCTTAAATTTCCTTACTCAAGCCCCTTCCCTGCCATGTGACTGCCTGGCCCGTGCAGCTGTTGTCCATGTTAATTAAGATGGCTTTCTCTCTCCTCTCCTCTCCTCTCCTCTCCTCTCCTCTCCTCTCCTCCCCTCCCCTCCCCTC